GTAGGGAAATTAAAGCAACAAGCAGTGGGACCGCATTTTTCAGAGTGCTGCTCTTCTGCCCCTTCCTCATACGTGTCTACTTCTCCATCTTGGTATCACTCTTTAGCTTGAGGTTCTACATTTTCCAGAGTAAACTGATACTGCAGAAAGGAGATACAAATTCCCTACAATCAAATAATCAAAACCAGTATGAAGACCATTTGAAGACTGACAGCTATAGAAATTGCATCTTACATTCATTCTCTTTTATCTCCATTTCAGTTTCTCATTTAATGCCAGTAGTGCAAGTAATGTTCCATTCACTGAAGGAACACTGAAAGATTTTGGCCCCTTCTCTAGAGGCTGGATCGGAGACTCTGCCTGTCGGTATGCCAATCTTTACCCAAAAGAGGGGTCATTCAGCTTGCCCAAAAAAGCAATATAAAGAACCTGCCATGTGTGGACAAAGATGCTCTTGTTTACCCTGTCATCATGTCAGATCCTTCTAGGTGTAATACCTTAACGGACTCCATCCCTGAGAGGAAACCAGATGCATTAAGGAAACTCCATCTACATTTCCGTGAGAAGCCCAGTCAGACATTTTATCTCCAGCTAAATGTAAGCCTAAAAAACCTACAGAAACAAGATGTTGCAGCCATATTTTAGCAACAATTTTGATTAGCTACTACTGCTTTTTCAAACCTATTTTCTAAGATGTGCTTTTTAATGGGTAATAGGATCATTTTCAGAAGTATTTCGGCATCAGTTTTGTCATATTAACACTTATTATTTAATGTGAGAAAAGCTATCACCACCTTTAACATGCATTCCTAAAAAAAATACTGCCAAGAATTAGCCAGATACTATAGGGAAGAAAAAAAAATAAAAAGAAAGAATGAATGTAAAAAAAGAAAGAAAGAAAAAGAAAACATAGGAGAAGATTCAGAAATTAAGTCCTGCAGTATACAGAATCAATTGTACACATTTTTACAAGCTTATCTGATGACTAAAACAAAGGGAAGTCAGTATAAAAAAAAAGTGCAAGGATTTTGGCTGTAGCAGTATACTAGTGGAAATGGCTTTTATGTCAGATTTTTAATTGATGGTACAGCTCACACAATGTTTGGTGCTTCAAGTCATCTGTAAGAATGCCTAGAAATTACAGGGATATCTTCTGGGACTAGTCAAGTGAAGTTGAGCATATTTTATCAGACAGGAGCAAAGTATATAACACAAAAAAAACTAAAGCAGAAGAAAGAGAAAAGGAAAGGAAAATTGAAAGGACAAAAGGAAGGAAAAGAGAAAAGGAAAAAATATGGGAGAGGCAGGAAGAAAGAAGGAAGAAAGGAAGGAAAATTCTAGAAAATGAAAATAAATAAATCACTCCTAAACTTGCCATTTAGTATTAAAGAAATTAAATTCATTACACGGTTGGCTGAACATTGGATAAAGAAAATAAAAAGTTCAAAGAATATTTTTTGCCTTGTAAAGAATAAATGCTGCATGGTACCACAATCCATGTTTTGATTCTAGTAGCAACACCGAGAAGCTAGGCTTCTCTTCTATCCTATTTTCTCTTTTATCAAAGAATTTCTTAAACTTCTAAAAGAAATGTGAGGCCATACGGGTATTTTAGTAAGCACAATACGAGTCAAAAGATTAAAAAAAAAATCAGAGAAAAAAAGAAAAGAAATCAGCCAAATGACCCACAAGCTAAAATAATGTTCATAACTTGTAAAATAATGTTTTTTTGACACTTTTACCCTTTGGTCAGCACTAAGCGGATCATCATACAGAAGGTTTCACTGATCTTGCTAAGAAAACAGAGGCCATATTTTTTACAATCTTTTTTTCTTTCAGCAAATCATCTTGTTTTTTGCAAATCAGAAGCCTGTCGCCCTTTGTCATTCAGCATTCCCATCTACTTTTTCATGCTGTAATTTTCCATGGCTAATATATCATTGCAGTCACTGAGTGCAAAATCCTACTTCTAATAAAGACTTCCCTTGAAAATAGTCCTTTCAGGTGTATTTCTGTGTTTCAGGATAATTATGAAATAAACAACATTATTTTGCAATTTGTATTCCTTTTTAATGATTCTTATTAAAGAATACACTTCCTGAAAGTAATTGATGTCATTTACTTCCCCCCTAACAGTGGAACTGATCTTTTTTTTTTTTTTTCCTACTGATGATGGGAAGTTGAAGGGTTTAAAATTAATTGTTCTTATTTTAGAATAGACCTTTTGAAAAAAATATTAGTACCAATTATCAACTGTGGGAACAAAATATGGAGGCAGCAATACTACTGGCCTCAGAAATGGCAGCATCATCATGTGAGCATAAACAGCATTTCTATCAGCTATTTCATATAAATTCAAGCCATTTCTGCTCATTTAAT